TTTAAATAAAATTTTATTTCAATTGTGATTTTAATGAACATTTACAGAGAAGTTGGATTTTCATTCATTTGTTGTTGCACATTTTACCCTCTCACCATTCCTTTCCCCTCCCCCAGGTCACTTAAAAAAATATTCATTTATTGTTGCACAATTACCTCCCTCCCTCCTTCTGCCTCTGGTCCTCTTTACAATGACATATCTCTTATTCTGGCCTATTGTCATACATATAATGCCTAATCATATATTCACTTTAGACAGTTCTTTCTTCCACCTGTTCCAATGCAATGGTCATTGTCTATCCATTCTTATCCTATTCTCCTCCCAGCCGCTTATGTCAGCCCCGCTGTCATAAAGTGGGTGATTATTTTCAATACCCAAGGTCTTCATCTACTTTTCCTAATGAATTAATGAGTACTCAACCCTTAAAAATAATACAGAGAAAGTGGGGCTATAGAAAGATCAATGGTGATTAATTTTATAAAACACAACGTATGGGAATGATTGTCTGAAACACAGTGTGAATGAAGGAATGTGAAACACACATACAAGTACAATATAGAAAGAGTTAAAATGACCTCTCATTATTGGAGAACTTGGTAAGCAAAACAATTTAGTGGTCAGAGGAAGTCTGGGGTGTGGTACGTTAGCCTCCCTTCGGATTTCATTTCATTTAAGTGATTGGTTGTTGTGAGGCTGTGGGCAGCAGTCTTAATCTGTCAGTTCCTGGTGCTAACAATACTTGGGTGATGTGAGTTCAATTAATGTTTAAGCTACTTTGATTACATCAAGTAGGCAATACCACAAGTATTTGTTGAAACTTGTCGGGTGAAAGGGAATGGATTTTTTTTTTTAAAATTACTTTGAACAAAGAGAGACTTGGATATAATCATCAAAAGCTGGTGATTTTTCTCTCTTCCTTCTCCCTTTCTAATCTCCCATCTTAATAAGTTTTAAGAACCTATACTTCTATCTCCCCACTCTGAACCACCGAAGGAGGTTGAGTTGATAGCACAAAAGGATTTATTCAGTCATCTTTGTAAATGATGATATTTAGAACCACACCAATGAGATCCTATGGCCTTGAATAATTAATTTTTAAACTGCCAAATTTTTTTCTTATCATTCAATTGCCCCAAAATGTTGGTTTTTTAAGTTGAGATTTTAATGAAAGATTATAGAGAACTTGGATTTCAATTCATTCATTGTACATTTTTCCTCCCTGCCCACTCCCTCCCCATACCCCCTGCCTCAGTTCTCTTTTCTCTTTGAGAAGAAAAAAAAATCTTTCATTGTTATACAATCCTCCTACCCCCAGTCCACCTTACTATGCAGCTCTTATTCTGGACTCTTGCCATGCAAATAATACCTATCATATATCCCTTTCAAACAGTTCTTTCCCTCATCTATTGCAATAAACTGCCAAATTTGTGTTAGTCTTGGAAGAAGAGAATTTGCCCTTATGTTCTTACTTATATGTGAAAAAAATATATTTATTATTACACTGATTATTACTGTTGTTGTGTACTCATCAATCAGAACCAAACCATAGCTGACATTCTAGTGGGTTTTCAGAGGTAGTGGATCACACAGGAGGAGGAACAGTTGGTGGATTTGAACCCAGTGCCTTTGGGATGGCAGCATAACTACTTACCACTAAGCCACTGGAGCTCTGTGATTATTATTAGGAGTTAGTTAATTTTTGTTGATTGCCTTCAAGTCAAGCATGACTCATAGAGACCCTATGAATAAAAGGCCTGAAGCCCCTCTACAACTATCGACATTTATCAAAGTTCATAGAGCTTCCGGAAGTATGTTGTTTAGGAAGTGGATGCCACTCCTGTTGATACTAGGCACCAAATGGAGAAATTTGTGTAGCTTTTTGTTTAATTTTCACAACAACTATGAAATGCATTCTTATTATATTCCTTCCTCCTTTTTAAGATGAGGAAATAGTAAACCTCAGAGAAGTTAGGAAACTCAGTTAAGGTCAAACAGCTGACAAACAGTGGAGGCAATATCTTTATGATATAAAAATAATTTAAAAAATCTTGCCAAAAGAATTCATAGGACTATACATTCCTGGAACTATGATAGTCTTAGTACTTTTGAAAAGTTGTTAGCTCACAACTTCTGTAAACATCTCATCCCAATCTAGAACAACTTTCTAGACTATCAGAAGGAACCATTCTTGCTCCACCTAACCCCTACATTGGTCATCGTGTTTAAGTGAAATTCTATAAACCTTGAATAACACCAGGGGACTCACAAAAATTCTGCCAAGAAGCTTTACGTGGGTGCAGTATATAATACATATCTTTCTCTTACACTGCTGTAGAGTAGGAACCAATTCATAGCTGACCTTCTATTGAGGGTGAATCTCCAAGGCAGTAAATCTCACAGTAGTAGACTGTCCGTTTTTCTCCCTCAAAGCCATTGGTGGATTCAAAATACCAGAGAGGTGTGACTTTTGGGTTGGCAGCACATTTCCCTAGAGACTAGATCATCTGAGCTCCCTACTAATATATAATACAAAGTATATTTTTATAAAAAGTGCTAATTGACAGTGTGGATAAAGCTTCTGGTTAATAGTAAACTATTAACAGTTAAATGGTTGGATTATATAAAAATTTTTTCACTGTGCTGGGTGATTTATTGCCCTATCTCCTTACATGTTCATGTGTGCTTGTTATGCATCTGAGAGCTGAACAATGAATAAGGATGACAGAAGAAAAATTAATGCCTATGAGATGTGGTGCTGGAGAAGCATGTTGAATATACTATGGACAACCAGAAGAACAAATAATAATCTCTCCTAGATAAAGTGAAATCAGTTTGCTCCTTGGGAGCAAGGATTTGGAAAATTGTCTCATATACTTTGGTCATGTTGTCAGAAGAGACCAGTCCTTGGAGAAGGACATAATGCTTGGAAAGGTAGAGGGACAGTGCAGAAGAGGAAGATCCTGGAGGAGATGGGTTGACACAGTGATTGTGGAAATGGGTCCAGTGTGTCTGATACAGTAATGCTGGCTAGCGTTACTATGTGTTGTAGTCAACTTGATGGCACATAACAACAACCCCTATGTTATTCAAGGGTCGACTATGTGGATAAACATAGATGGTTTGGCATCAACCTTCTTCCAGGAGTAGAGAGCCATGAGACTTGTATTAAGAAAATGAACAATTCTTCATAAACTTTCATTAACATTTCAACTAAAAAAAAAAAAGAAAATATACTTGAATCAGAGAGCCTGGGTTAAAATTTTTGTTCTGGCCTTTTCTAGCTGGGTGACTTGGGGCCCCTTTATTCATCTATATTTTGTTGTTGTTGTATGATAATGATAAAATCTATCCCTAAGCATTGTCAGGACATCCGTGTGACTTGGTAAGGTCTAGATATGCATGGATGTACATATGTACGGGTGTAAAGTTCGATTTCTCTGGAGAACTTGGACTAAAGAAAACCCTCAGGCAGGAATGGGATTTTATAATCTTTACATAAAATTATGTCTATACCAGTTCCTTACCCATAATCAGCTCTTCTGGCACAGAGGAAGAGCTCTATTTTTATTACTGCTATCAAGTATAAGGGAACTCTGATCATGTACTTTGTAAGGAATGGTCTATTAACCCATAAGCAATGTCTCAATGGACGTTTAAATCCATCAGCAGCTCCACAGGACAAAGACGAGCAATCTCCTCCTGTTCTCCTCCTCCAAAAACTTGCTGGAGGGTCAACTATGAGTCGGTTCCAACTGGATGACAAAGAGTAGAACTGAATTCTTCAAGGATACAATGAAAAGGAGGATGGGAGACCATATTTCCTCAGCTCCATTAGTACTGGGGGAAGCACACAGCATCTAAGATCCAGACAAATTCCCTGCATAGGGTCGCTATGAGTCGCTAGCAACTTGACAGCACATAACAACATCTCATTGTGATTATTCCTTATGGGAGCCCAGGTGGCACAAAGGTTCTGTCACTTGCCTGCTAACCAAAAGGCCCAAGTTTGAACGAACCAGCTATTACAAAGGAGAAAAATGTGACAGTCTGACTCTGTAAAGATTCAAACCCACTCCTGTTGAGTTAGTTCAACTCCTGGACACCCTCCATTAGGTTTTCAGTGTTATAATTCTTCACAGAAGAAGACTTCCCATCTTTCTCCTGCATAGAGGCTGGTGAACTTGAACTACCCAACTTTTTATTAGTATTCCAATACATGTGTACTAGGCCACCAAGTCTCCTTTTCTGCAAAGAATACACAGTCTTGTAAATTCTACCAGACAGTTTGTTATACTCTGTCTTGTAGGGTCACTGTGGTTTGGAATCACTTCAGTGACAGCCAGTGTTCTGCTTTATTATTTCTTACATGCCTTATGCTTGTAAGGGTTTCAATGTCTTTTTCCTTCAATCTGCACAAAAAGAGAATAATGATTCCCACCTTTCACTACTTATCTGAGAGTATGCTGATTCAATAAAAACAAAATTCACACACCTCTGCAGGCCTCAGAGAAGCTGAGGTGGTGGCCACATGGCCACCACACTGAGGTCACTCTGGAAGCCGGGCCACTGCAGGTGAGCTCACCTACCTTCAGGGGCAGTGAGATTTTCTGAATTTTCCCTTCCCTGGTCAGCCGGATTGGCAACTGCACTTCCACTCTTCGTCCTCCGAAGGACACTCAAAGCTCGATTTATTTTCTTGAAAGATCTGCTTCTGATTGTAGATCGCTCAAAAGGACGTGCTGAGGAAAAGAGCAGAGAATGGCCATAGCTTTGCTTTAGTATAAAGCATTTTAGTATGTATGTGTTTGGTACAATATTACATATGTAAATATATGTAAAATCAATATGTTGTTGTTATATGCCATTGGGTTGACTGTGACTCATAGCAACCCTAGGCACAACAGCTCTGAACCCTGCTGTATCCTGAGCCCAACTCACTGTCTCTCACACCCTTCCCCTCATTACTGCAGTTACTGTATGAATCCATCTCATACAGAGTCTTCCTCTCCTGCAGTGTCCCTCCACCCTTCCAAGTATGACACCCTTTTCCAGAAACTGTCTCCTTCTGGCTGCATGACCAAAGTTTGTGAAACATAGTCTCAAAATACTTGCCTCTAAGAAGCAGCTATAAATCAATATAGATAGCTATTATATTGATTACTATATCTCCCTATCTAAAATTAGAGACAGGGAGACAGATAGATATGAAGAGTTCTGGAGATCTGGGAAGAAGTCTGTAGGGACTATTAACCTAAAGGCCACACCTCTCTGGTGGTTCCAATAGACCAGTGTCTCTTTAGGAGAAAGATGGGGAATCTTATTCAAGCCACAACATATCAGAATTTCATTTCTCCTCATGGCTAAATAAGATTCCATTGTATAGATATCTATACCATGTTTTGTTTATCCACTCATCCATCCACTCTGTTGAAGAATATCTGGGCTGTGAACTAATACTTTAAATGCCTCAATGAAGATGTCTCAGGAGTGAAAACTCCCCTACTGCTCCTTTTTTTCTTTTCTTTTTTCCTTGGGCTGCACAGAATAGAACAGCATTTGTCTTGAGCGGCAGGGTAGGCATGATCTGACACTGCAGGACTGATGAATCATTAGGTTTGGCTTCAACCCCTTTCACCAAGTCAGATTACACAGTTTTAAATAATCTGAGGTACTCGTGCTTTTATTTCACTACGGAGGATTGACATTGGGTTGCTGCCAAGGCTAACAGAACTCTTTCTGTAAAGAAAAAAAAATCTAGAATTTTCCAATGCCTATTCCACAGAGGGCAATCTCAAGGCAAGTAGCCCATTCCTGGACACCCGCCCAATTGACTCACGCCTCGTTCGGTTGCTCCGGCCTGGGTCCAGTGGGCTGTTTGCTGACTGACCATCCTCCGCGGTGGACACGTAGGCAGGGTTGTCTAGGCCCGGCTCTGTCGTTAAGGAGACGGGAGCAGCTGCAGACACCTCTGGGGAGAGCTCTGTAGCTGTGAGGCTGGCGCAGCCATCTGGCCCGCCATCTTGTGAGCGTCTCTTCCTGTCTTTGGTCAGGCCATAGTGAGAGGCACCTTTACAGCTGTAACAAAACCAGTGAAGAGGTTAAAAACGACTTCCATTTCACTGCCATTACTTAATCAGGGCCCTCATTCAAATGACACATTTAGTACTGTTGTTGTTAGAGGCATTCAAATTGATTTTTGACTCTAGGGACCCCATGCAACAGACTGAAGCTGCCTCACAGGGTTTCCTAGTTTGTGACAAGTGCTTGAATTCTCCTAAAGTTCATATTTCTGTCTTTCATGGAAATTGAGGTAACCCACATAGATTTCTCTCCTTAGATGCTCTTTTAAGCCTTTAAAAAAACTGGTTCTTCAGTCACCACTGAGTCAAACCCTAGCTTGATAAGCAGAGCCGTGGAGACATTTGCATTCAGGCACTGAATTCTTTCAGAAAATTATCTATGTATGGTCAGCTTCAAGAAGCAGGAAGTCTGGAATCTGACTGCGTTAGGATGTATATTATGTCCTTGATGACAATTTCTGTAAACCCGCCCTGGCCTCTTTTGAGAATTCAGTCTCAGGAAACAGACTCCAAAGGAACTATAGTTAATGTAAAATCAGTAGATATTTTAATTGTTCTTCAAGACAATGCTGCATGAATATTCTTCCTGAACAGAAATTGTTTATCAGTTCTGTTTCCACCCCCTTTGTTTTCTGCCATGGCAAAGCCCATAAGATCTGACACAAAGATTTTAGATGCTCTTCTCATCTTCAGAAAATTTCGGATTCTCTAGTTTAAATGTCACCCTGATTTGAAAAAAAAAATATCATCTATCTGATAAACTTCAATCAATTTCTCTTATTGGTTTAATATGACTTTGACTTGAAGAGTTGTAAACTTTATGAAAGCCGACTGCCATATCTTCTCTCCCAGGAGCAACTCACACTCAGACTCATTGCCCTTAAGTCAGAACTGGCCCATTGCTGACCTTTCAGTGGATTTTCAGAGGCTGTAAATTGCAAGAAAGGACAGTGTTCCTCTTTCTCCCACGGTGCAGCTAGTAGATTCGAACCACCCGCCCTTGGGTTGGCAGCACAACTCTTTAACTGAGAAGTCACTAAAATTCCCTCTCAGGGCAAGTAGAAGGGTTCAAACCTCCAACCCTTTGTTTGGCTGCCCAGCACTTAACCAGAGTGCCATGTCTGCAGTACAGGTCTATGTATCTGGAAGGACACAGCATGGTGTCACTTCTAGGCATGGTGATGAGATGTGGTGGAGGGCCGGGTAATACAAGTAGGGGGAAAGGGATCTTTGCTTTTCACTTTGGAAAGTTTTCTGTCACAGTGCTTCTCAAACTATCAACAAGGAGCAGTTTGGTTTTTTTGGTTTTTTTTGTTTTTTTTCAGTCTAGTGTGAATGTTACTTTGGTAAAATCCACTAAAAAGGAATTACTATTAAAATATAACTTAAATAAGAAAAAAATGCCCATGTTCAATAGCCTTGAAAGGACTTGATTTGCTTATACTTGTATTGCTCCCTTCCTTTATCTATGGAGATACTTTGGTAGATTCTTATTAACTAAACAAATTAAGAAACTGAGATATAATTTTAAAAGATGCTGCTTTCATGGCCTCCAAGCCATCTCTGCACTGGCCGTGGGAGGGTAAGTTTATGAAATGTGTGGTGGTGTCTGTATGACCAGATCTCGAGGCTGGTGATCTGGTACTGTTTGCACTTGGACTTGGGATAATTCTTTGCTGGTGTTTATTTTGACCATCAAAGTCCTGTACACAAACCACACTTCCACTCACTACTCTTGAGGTTAGAACTCAAATGAAACCCCTCACAGCACTGAACACAATTGAGTAGCTCTCAGATTTTGTATCTAACTGTTTGTGGGAGCAGCATTTATGCCACAAAACCACAGAATTTATTCAGCATCACTTTCCTCTGGGCACAGGTTTCCACTCTCTGCCCCTGGTTTGATCTGAAGGACCCATGTTGTTCCTCAGAGGGGTTAGGACCAGGTGGGCTGGGACTCCTGTGCACTGAGACACTTCGCTCATGGTCAAGTTTTCTAATGCTGAGAGAGTAAAACAGCACTGTGATCTTTAAGAAAGATGTGATTGCCTCCATTCATGTTGGAGTCAGGGGTGAAGGGGGGTGCAAATGGTTTACTGATCAACTGGTATCCTAAAGATTGGAGGTTAAAGTCTACCCAATGGTCACTTGGAAGTCAAGTCTTCTGGGGAAATTAGCCACAAAAGACCTTGTGGAGCATGGCTCTCCTGTGGAACGCTCAGGATTGCTGTTGAAAGCAACTGACTGGCAATCTGCCTTGGCTTTATCCATTCACATCAATGACAAACAAATCCTAAACCCAAAAGATGGTGAGTAAAGTAAGTCACCCGTGCAGCAAAGTGCAGAACGAGGACGCTCGAGGGTCTGACGACCAGTAGAATTTAATCTCATTCATTCATTGCTGTTGAGTTGGAATCCACTCACAGCTCACCTTCTTGCTGGTTTTTGGAGGCTGTAAATTGCATAGAAGGAGACTGTCCATCTTTCACCAGCAGAGCCTCTGATGGATTTGAACAGCCTTTAGGTTGTCAGTGCAACTTTCCACTGACTATGCCCCCAGAGCTCCCACTGACGTGATCTAAGGAAGTATGTACCATGGAAACTCAGAAGAATGACCATATCTGCCTTCGTCTCACATGCAAAGAGCTCCATCAGGAGCAGAACTGCTGATCCAATCCACCAGCTCCAAGGAGGAAAGACAGGAAATTTCATTCTGCTCAATTTACAGCCCTAGAAAGCCAATGAAGGGTCAGTGAGAAATTGGTTCTGAATCCACAGCAATGAGTTTTGTTGTTGATTTTTGGTTTTTGGTTTTTTGTTTTTTTTTTTTGGTTTTTTAGTGGTAGTGGTGCCAAAGATTAAATGCTTGGCTACCAGATAACAACCTACATCAACAAACTTTGTTACGCAGATGATACAACCTTGCTTGCTGAAACTGAGGCAGACCTCAATGCTTGCTGGAGAAGGTCAAGAACTGGAGTTTTCAGTATGGATTGAAGCTCAACATCAAGAAGAAAAAGATCCTCACCACTGAGCCAATTGGAGAAGAGATTGAGGTTGTTAACAGCTACAGCTTGCTCTGCTCCACAATCAACACTCTTGGCACCAGCAGTCAGTAAAGCAAAAGATGAATTGCATTAGATAAATCTGCTGTCAGGGACTTTTCCAGAGAACTGAGAAGCAACGATGTCAGTCTAGAGACTAAGAGGCACCTGATCCAGTCCATGGTCTCTGCAATTACTTGCTACATCAGAAAGCTGGATAATGACTAAGGATGCCAGAAGAAGAATTGATACCTTTGAGTTGTGGTGCTCTAGAAGAGTCTTAAACATACCATGTACCACCAAGAAAAGAAATCTGTGTAGTCCTGGAGAGGGTGAAATCAAGTTTCTCCTTGGAGGCTAGAACTTTGAAGCTCCATTTCACACACTTTGGGTATGTGGCCAGGAGGGACCAATCCTTAGAGAAGGACATCATGCTCGGAAGGGTAGGGGGCAGTACAGGAGAGGAAGACCGCAGATGAGATGATACAGTAAGCAGGGCAATGGGGGTAGGTGTGTTGGAGTCAGTGAAACAGGCTCAGGACAGGGTAGGCTTCAGAACTATTGCAAATAGTGTCACTATGCATTGCAAGTGTCTCGACAGCACATAAAAACAACAATCAGATGAAATTTGGTGGACTGAGCATAACATGCACGAATCAGAGGGACATTATGCTGAAAGAAATAAGCCAGCCACAAAAGAACAACTCACTATCCTTCTGTGGGCTTGCTATCAGAAAAAAACAAAGGAAGGGTTTGCACAAAGAGGTGCCACAGAAGCAAAGCCTGGTGATCTGCTTTTGAAAAGTCACAGCCAATGAAAACTGAGAATAAAGTTCTTCAAGTGCATGGGTCACCTTGAGTTGGAATCAACTTAAAGGTGACTGAGTATCGTTGTCCGTTATTTTTTTCCCCCCACAGTTTAAGGAATTTTTATTAAAGCAAGAATTTTATAATCAAAATGACATTTCCTTGTTCAGGTATCAATTTTTTGACCTAAAAACAGAAGGCACATTCCGAGCTATTCCACGTAAAGAATTACAAAATTTAAAGCATTCCTTTCTTTAATTTTGTGCTTTATTTTTCTAAGACAATAAAAATTGGGCTACCATTTGTTGAGCTTGTTTGAAAGGCTTGTCTCTTAGATGCCAAGTGGTGCAACTAGGAGCAGAAGACATTGTCAGATTCTTCTAAAGGGATTTAGCAAGCACAAGAGGCTGATGTGAGGGATTCCCATATAGCAGGCTTGTAGAGAGGTTTCAGGAGAGTTTAGCTGGAGACAGGTTTTTGTTTGTTTGTCTTTTAATATTCCTTTCTTACTGGTAAATCAATGTGATGTTATGAGCTGTGATGTGATGAAATGAAATAGGTGTTTCTTATAGTTGTTGTTGTATATCATTCAGTCAGAACAGACCCACAACTGAGCCTCTGGTGAGTTTTCAATCACATGGTAGGAGATGGTTCATCCTTCTCCCACGGAGCAGCTAGTGATCTTGAACTGCATGCCTTTGGGATTGCAGCACAGCTTCTTGCCACTAGGCCACCAGCGGTCTCTGTGTTTTTATTAATATTATTTATTAATAAAGGTGCTTTCCCTGCACCTTAAATTTTATAAAATTTGCTTTGCATGCTAATGCGATAGAACCTAACAGATTATATATAACCCTCTGCATTTGTGTGAGAGGGGAGCAAGCAGACTCATTCTGCCATGGCTCAACCTCCTTCCCTGGACGACTTTGAGCTCTTTGCTTGAATGGCAATATGTTACTGTACTGATCAGCTCCTTTGGGTTGAAACTGCTCTCCTTAAAAATAGCAAAGCGGATGATATGGGAAACGAAAATACTGGAAGAAATACTGTGTGATGGAAAAAATAAAAGCATGCATTTGAACAGCTCTAAAGTCATAAATACATGAGCGGAACATTTGTGGGCTGGCCAGCGGTATCTGGTTAG